CCAAGGTGGGCGAGCTGCTGCTCACGGGTCCCGGCCCCTCCTGCCGGACATCACCCCGTCTCCCCACACGGGCTCCAGGGTGCAGAGTTCCACTGCCCACACCCGGAAAGTACGCGCTAAACGTCTCTCCTGGCTTGCCTAGTTTGGGGGGAGCCTGTGAAGTCCCCCCCCATGATTCACTGGAAACGCGTGCTGAGATCACACAGGCCTGAGGGAGCCCTGAAGATGAGCTTCAGGCGGTCTGCAGTTTGGGGACCAGAGACCCAGCTCTCAGCACATGTGACGACTTTCTCAAAGTCCCCAACTTCTGTGGGGTCCGGGGGCGGGGAGATGGGGGGGCCAGTGTCCTGCTCTGTCTCCCCAAGGCCTCACCCAGCACCCACAGCAGGGGGTCAGTTCACAGAAGGGTCAGCACCTGCTGACCCAACAGAAGCCTTAGCTGAAAACTTCCCCGAGTGACCCCTGACACGGTCAGGCGGGGGCCCCCGGCTTCACCTTCCTGTGTGCAGACAGCACCCGTGCAGAGGCGGCGTCTGAGCCCCGACCGTCGGGTCTAGGCCCAGACCCGGGTGTTCGGCGCGGCGGCACACTAAGTCTGGGGCGTCTTTCAAGCCCCCCAGCCCTGCGGCCCCTCAGTCGATACCAGATCCTACTGTGTGTGTCTCCTACCCTCCCCATCACGCCCAGCACTCGGCCCACCCAGAGCAGACACTCACGGAGAAAGTCGCGGGCGGATTTGAGTCAAACAAGGGCTGGCCCTACAAGCACAGGAACAGGGCCGCGAGGGGCTATGCAAGTTTCTTGTATGTCAGAACCGCGGGCTCCGTCCACTAAAGTCCGGAAGAGCCGCTGTCTCCGGAGCGCCGAGGAGCTAGAGCATCGTCCACGCAGCTCCCGACGGAGCACGGCGCAGGCTCGGCCTCTCCAGCCCCATGCCTGCTAAGCCACGCCACTCTGAGAGCCCGTAAGCCCCCAGATAATGTTGGAAATTCTGGAAGCTTCCTTTCAGGGTGATAGGACTCACAGAACTGCTTGCCCACTCACGGCGTCACCCCGACAAAAAAACCCAGCAGGGCCCCAGACGGCAGAGCTCGGCCCCCACACCTCCCTGGCAGCTGACTGCCAGTTCACTGACAGTCACCCAAACACATGCCCCCAGGCCAGAGCTGTGAATCGCCCAGCACAGCCCTGCAAGCTCCCTGGGGTTAAAAGACTGGGACCTGGCGCTGGAACATCCGGAACAATTCAGAGAAATCCCCCGCCCCCCGCCCCTCGAGAGCAGGGCCTAGCTGGAAGCCCCTTCTGCTGGGAAGTGGGTTTGCCGTGGGGTCTCACTGGCGCTGTGCCCTCTCCTGAGTGCCAGAGGCCGAGTCCCGGACGGAGGCTGCAGGGCACCCTGCCCGCCCCAGGTGGGCAGAGGATGCCAGGGTCCCCAGAGGGCAGGGGGAAAGTTGCTGAGCGAGCCCCTGGCCGGTGAGGGACCCTGCTGGGCCTTCCCCTGTGCCGACACAGGCCAGCCTTTCACACGGCCAAGTCGGAAACTCACTCTCTGAAAACGCCTGCAGGAAGAATGAAGAAGTGGGCAGAGGAGAGAAGTGTCTGGCAGAAAGGGCCGGTGCCCAGTCAGTCAAACTTGGGACAAGGGGGCCCCAGCTCCCCAGGCAGCTCCCCAGAGCAGGGCTCCTTAGGCTGGAGTTCGGGAGTTTGTGGGGCGCGGGTGTACCTGGGGCCTGCGCCAGGCAGGGGTGCTCATGGGGTTCTCAGCCCACACCCCCGGGCAGAGAGCCTGGGCCCCCACTGCCGGTGAGGCTCCAGCAAGGCACCCCCCCCCACCCGGGGCGGAAAGTGGTTTACCTGGCGGAGGTGCCTCCAGAGCCACCTCCTCGCGCCTGGCCGCCTTCTTGGGCTCCCGCGGGCGCGG